GAAAGAGTTTTAGAATCTTTCCTTGAGAAGGGCTTTCATGGGTTGAACTCAAAGAATAATGGGAAGTTTGAGTGAAGAAGAGTACCGGTTTTTTGATGCCTATGAAGACATTGCATCAATTTCTGATGCGAAGTCTGATAGCAATGAGATATTTGATTCTCATTCTAGTTTTGATAACTCCATTACTAGGAGTCCTCCTTATGAACTGTGGATGAAGAGCCCTGGAAGTGTTCAGGAACGGCGGAGTAAGTTCTTTGATTGGATGGGAGTCGATGTAGATCAAAATGGGTATAGCAATTTAGAAGAATTTAGCTTGGAAGGAGAGAGTGATAGAATTAGAGAAAGCAGTGGGACTGTGTTGAGAAATTCATGTTTTGAAGATGATTTTTGTTCGACTCGATCTATGATGTCGTGTTGGTCTAATGGTGGATCTAATTTGTTAGCGGAGTTGGGTTCTGTGGAGAATTTTGTTTGCAGAGATGGGGTTTCGGGTAGCGGAATGATGTGCAATGTAGATGAATTGGGGCAGGATGGGGAAGCAAATGAAGGTTGCGAAGGGGGCTCAGAACAGTCAGTAACAGCAGAGGAATCTGAGAAAAATTCTGAGTCATATCCCTCATTTCAACAACTTGTGCAGAAAGAAGTTGGGGAACCAAATACTTTAGTTGATACTCCAAGGAGACTTAAGAAAGGGTGGCTGAGTAGAATCCGTTCCATAACATGCATTGTGGATAGGCTACAGGAAGCTGACAAATTGAGACATGATGATGATGATGCGCTTCTGAGGCACAGGGTACAAAGGATTAAGGTTCGCCGATGTGGGAAGCGAACAAAGGAACTTTCAGCTCTTTATAAAGGGCAAGATATCCAGGCCCATGAGGGTTCGATTTTAACCATGAAATTTAGTCCTGATGGGCAGTACCTTGCAAGTGCTGGTGAGGATGGGGTTGTGCGTGTGTGGCAAGTACTGGAGGGTGAGAGATCAGATGAACTTGACACTCCAGAAATAGATCCATCCTGCATGTACTTCACGGTGAACCAGCTACCCGAGTTGAAACCCCTCTTTTTTGATACAGCTAAAATGAGGAGCATGAGGAAAACATCAGATTCTGCATGTGTCATTTTCCCTCCAAAAGTTTTCCGGATTTTGGAGAAACCATTGCACGAGTTCCATGGGCACAGTGGAGATGTCTTGGATCTCTCATGGTCCAAGAATAATGTAAGTTGCTTCGTTAAGGATGCATTTCTCTAACATCGTGAAGAAAACAAACCATAATATTTACAGAAATTCTTCTTGGTGCAGCATTTGCTTTCAGCTTCAGAGGATAAAACTGTCCGTCTATGGCAAGTGGGATGTGACTGTTGCCTCAGGGTCTTCCCACATAGCAATTATGGTGTGCTTCTGGCTAATTTTAAGTTTCTTCTCAACTATGTTTTGTTAATTTAGTTGCTAGTCAAGTTGAATTACCTTCCTCTTTATTTATTTATTTATTTATTTATTTTGTATGTGATGCAGTAACCTGTGTTCAGTTTAACCCTGTGGATGATAATCACTTCATGAGTGGTTCAATAGATGGAAAGGTTCGCATATGGGCGGTCAATAGTTGCCAAGTTGTTGATTGGACTTATATAAAAGATATAGTTACTGCAGTGTGTTATCGTCCAGATGGGCAGGTTCGGCAGTTTTCTCTCAATTCTTTTATCCTATGGAATTGAGGATCTGAGGGTGTATGCTTCCATGTTAAGTGCCCTGATAGAAAATCTTTTCTCTTGTAGGGAGGGATTGTTGGCTCCATGACAGGCAATTGTCGCTTTTATAATATGTCAGGTATGCATTTTCTGATAATTAGCACTGACTGCATTCTTTATGTGTAGGACAGAGTCAAAAAATGCTGTTACTTTTCATTTCTAAAGGTAGTTTTTTTGACAGCATGCTCTATCCTGGTTGAATTACATGTCATATGGGAAATCTTGCTAGTTGTAACCTATGTGATTTTAGTTGTTTTGAATGCAAGTTCATTTCATTAAGAATGTACGGTTCGTGTACATAAGCCAAATGGTGTTTGTCTCTTCTTTGAAGAACTCTTGCAATTGTGTTTTATGGATTTTGTGCATAAATTATGGGTTTGAATGGGTGACGGGTCGTATTTCAAAGAAAGTTAATAATAAATTAGGTTCCATGGTAATAAAGATCTTGTTTTTCCTCAGATCAACTTTGAGTTTAATGCATTTAAGTTGAAATACATGTTAACTAAATGGACTATTCTTTCACCTGCTGCAGACAGTCACTTGCAACTTGATGCTCAGATCTGCTTACTTGGTAAAAAGAAGTCACCTTGCAAAAGAATAACTGGCTTCCAGGTGACTATCTTTTGCCTTCCAATGATGTTTTCACTGTGTTTTTACTGTACATGCTGCTTACTGTTTTACCTCATTGTATGCCTTCAACTTCAGTTTTACCCACAAGACTCCAGCAAAGTAATGGTGACTTGTGCTGATTCACAAGTCAGAATTCTCCAGGGACTTGATGTGATAGGCAAATATAAAGGTATGTATTGTTAGCTCCTTTTCTTTATTGTTTTCTCAAAATCATCTTATAATTTTGCTGCTTCAGACAAGTCAGATGCTTTAGTGATAAATGTTAATTGCTTCTAGATATGCCTAGTATTTGTAGATTTCATGCTGTGAAACTCAAATATGAAACATGTGAAATATCAAACTCTGCGTAGTATCTTTGTGATCTAAACAGCACAATTTTTTATCTTTACCTTTTCTCTTTTGAACTTAAAGTTTTGAATTTCTCTATGTTCTTTAGGCAATGCAGCAAACCAGTTATCTGCATCTTTTACCTTGGATGGAAAACATATTGTCTCAACCTGTGAGGATTCCAGTGTACATTTATGGAATTACATGGATCAGGAACAACCTTCTACTCCTCGATCAAAAAACTCAAGGTCTTATGAGCATTTCACTGCCAATGCATCTGTTGCAATACCTTGGTGTGGAATGAAATATGGGGGTTCAGAGAATGGATGGGGATTTCGTGTTTCAGACAATAGTTCACAGGAAGTTCTACCTCTTTCTTCCCCGGCTAGTTTTTCTCTGAGCCAAGAATATTTCATAGAGTCTTTTCCCAAGGGTTCTGCTACTTGGCCAGAGGAAAAGCTTCCGTCAAGCCCATTATCTGCCTCCTCAACAATGCACAAATCCCAGTACAAGTTCCTGAAAAATTCATGCCAGAGCACTGCCACTTCTCACGCATGGGGTCTGGTCATTGTGACTGCAGGGTGGGATGGAAGAATAAAATCATTCCACAATTATGGGTTACCAGTTGCTGATTGATCAGGATTGATCCTTTTCATTGGGATTTTTAGTGCCCCCTTTGATGGGATTACTTGCCCCAAAATCTGGTGCTGCATAGGTGACCAATGCTGCGTAGCTTTGAGTTTGACATCATTGAAAGTTGCCAGCTTGCTCTGCTTTTAATGACTAATGCATTGTAGCTTTGAGTTTGACATCATTGAAAGTTGCCAGCTTGCTCTGCTTTTAATGACTAATGCATTGTAGATGAATGTTTGAGAAGTTGGGGCGGCCCTTTCTTGGATCACGGTGCTCTGTAAAGAATCATATATGACAAGTGGTAACAGTTCTATGGTTGCGATGATTATCCAGCTTGGGGTGAGCAAGAGGATGAGGTTAGCTTATCTTGATGCGCAGCTTAATTATAAAATTAGCTGATATTATTTTTGCATGAGAAATTGGTTTCTGCCGGCCCAGAAAAAGATGCTAGTCATGTGTTAGGAGAGGCCAGTTTGCCGTACTCTCTCTTTATAATAGAGGTGCTTGTGGGACCTTTGCTTAGCCTCTTCCTTTGGCTTTGCTAAAATGGGAGGAGGGAATCCAGAGCTGGTGGTTGCTGTTTATTTGGGAGAAAAATGGTGGGGAACTCTGCCATTATAACTTGATGGCCAATCTGAATGATTGAATTGTTTGTCTGCCATATCAGGCTTCATGGTAGGGTCGATTTCACCTGAGCTTGACGGTGGGGTTGTATTCTGCTTCATTTTCAGCTGAATGACTTGTTTGATTAGCCAAGCACTTGCGAATGTGAGTCCCCCTTTTAGCCTGGTGAATGGATTTCCAGTTGAAAGCTTCTGGCTTTTAAAATTACGAGGATGCTGGCACGCAGTTGACTACTTATGATCATTGCTCAAGTGCTGTTTATCCATTTTTGTCTCGCTAACAGAATTTTGTATATTGTGTCTCTAAAATTCATTCTAACATCACTCAGATTAGTTTTGAGGTTATTTATCTGCGGAAAATGTAGAAGAAATGGCCTCTGAGTTTAGCATACGCAATTGTGGCTATGTAAATAAACCTATTCGGAGGTTATTTTCCTTGTAATCTGTTTTGGGAAGTGGCCTGGAAAATGAGAAAACGAAAATTGATGAGCATTTGTGCATGGTTTGTCTGCCAGATTATTCTCTTTCTCAAGTACCATGGCTTCATTTTCATGCCCTAGATTCATTTTTTTTGTTTTTAACAGAAACTTGTTCAGCCATTATTGCCTGCTAATCCCATTTCAGCACCCAGCTATAAGCTATCTGTTCGAACTGAAAATGTTGAAAATACTGAAAAAAATATAGTTGTCGTTAATTGTTATTATAAAATATATTAAAATATTTTTTTATTTTTAAAAAATTATTTTTAAAATCAACATATTAAAATGATAAAATGATGTAAAATATATAAAAAATAATTTAAAATAAAAAATTTAAAATTTTTTAAATTTAAAAATACGGATTAACATCCATTTCATTTTAAATTATTTAAATTTAAAAATACGGATTAACATCCATTTCCAAACACTCACTTATCAGCATTCACATAGCATGCATCGACAAGTAAAGAAACATGGGTATGAACTATAAACCCCGTTGTCCTACACTCGCTAAAACTGATTGGTTCAGAAACAAGCAAGAATCAAGAAAGCAGAAGCTAATTTCAGTAATTTGTTGATTTAGTTGGTAGGCCAGGCTAGGGCACGAAGGTGACACCACTGGCAATTATCAAGACTGAACCCCTCTCCTTTTCTTAGACAAGAACTTTGTCTTAAATCATTTCAAGGGAGTTTCAAACAAGAACAGGAGGCTGATGATGGGGATTCCAATTTCAAAACTGTCATCAAGTAAAGAGGATCATTATAAGAAGGAATAACACAACTCTGTGCCTGTTCTGTTCTTCTTAACGTGAAACATCCACATGGCTTTGTAGCGCACAATGGGTTAGGAACCTTGGATTCCTCTTAATGTACATTGCTACATCTCCTCCCAAATCCATTTTTTAGGGCAGATAGTACAGAAACAAAGCCATTAATTTGATGGAATAAGGCATTGATGGGCCATATACTTAACACAAGATAATTAGCACTTTACAAAGAGTACAGAAGTCCCTTAATTAGGAGACCAAAATAATGACCTTGGTTTTGAGGGACAAGGCCTCTGCTGTATCATGTAAAGCTTGAGCTGTAAACCCTAATTGATCAACATCATTTGATCTGGGATCTGGGATCTGGGGTTTTTCTTAATTATTATTATTGGATTGACAAGAACTTTGTTGATGTACCCGACAAAGAAACAGAGCATTTGGCAATCCCTACTCTACATAGGTTTTTGCTCTGTACTTTTCATTAATGAACCTTAAAAAATAATAAAATTAATAGTTAATTACATGTGTTTCCGTTGTGTTTTGTGCTTTTGCGTCACCGACTAGGCATTCTCTGCTGGGCAGACCTGTGAGAAAAGAATCCTCTTTCTCCGTCTTAGAAGCTTTGAATATAATTAAATTATCACTCATACCACCAGCTTAAGATCCATGGGGTCTTAGAGTTTGATTTATGCATGTAAGGAAAAATTGGGTCATTACAAACTAAATAAAATATCATACCCTTTTGCTATATATATTTGTGACATACTTCATGACTACACTGTATTATTATTAAACATAATATTGTTGAACAGGCTGATTCTAGGTCTAAACGAGATATAATATTATAAAAAATAAAAGAAAAATCTTAACTTAAAACTTGGTAAATTTTACAAAATAAATTGAAATAACATGTTTTGAATTTTTAAATTTATTTTTAAGTTAATTTAGATTAATCTTATCAACTTAGAAGCGTGATTTAAGAAAATTTTAAAAAATTCTTAAAACATGTTTGAAGTTTTTTTTTAATATTAATATTAAATTTAAATCAATTGAATATTAAACAAGCTATTCACATTCTAATCTTTATGTTCCGAAGAAATTTATCTCATGTTTTTTTTTCTTGAATTTGAATATAAGATTTAAAAAATAATTTTTTTTATTGTTATATATTTTATATTTAATTATTTTTTTTAATTTTTTCACTGAGAATTTGATTTAATTTAATTTTTATATCAACTTTTATTATTATTCTTTTGATTGTTATTTTTTTCTCTTATATTTTTTAATTGAAAGTTTTTAATTTATTACATTTAGTTTCTATTCTTTTTCTTTTGATTACTATTTGTCATAACCCAATTTTGGCCCTTTGGCTTTTAATTTAATTTTTACAGGGTTTAAAATGAAAAATTAAAAGATCAAAGATTTATTTCGATGCAAAGTGTAATTTGTCAACTTTCGTGAAAATTAAGGATTACAATGTGCCTTTGTCATTCTAGTCTTATCCTCAAGATATTTCCTATCTTCTTACAATGTGCCTTTGTCATTCTAGTCTTATCCTCAAGATATTTCCTATCTTCTTACAATGTACTTCTTCAAGATAATCCTTACTTTCAAGCTAATCTCTATTTTCTTCAAGATAATCCTTACCTTGTTCAAGATAATCCTCAAGATAATGATAGTTGTCTGCTTTCTAATTCGAATTTCAAAAAAAAGAATGAGTTTGATTGAAACTTTACTTTTTCACAAGTGATGAGACTCTTGCACTATAAATACTGATCTTAGTATACAAAAAAAAAAAGGAGGATGGGAAGGACGATTAGAAAGAAACCCTAAAAGAAGAAATCTCAAGAGGAGGCCATTACCAAAAACCCTAAAAGAGAGAAACATAAAAAAAGGGGGGGGGGGGTGGAGAACCTTATACTAGCCGTTGCCCCTCTTAACCCTTTTTTTCCCCAATCTCCCTCGACTTCGCTTTCAGAAGTCACACGCCTAGGTAAGTTTCCTTCCTTTCTTGCTAAAATAATCAACTGGTTACTGTGTTTGCTAGGGGTGTGCTTGGAAAAAGAGGGTAAAGAGAACGAGGACTAGAGAGACACTAAGAGGAAAACAGAGAAAAAGAAAATAGCATCAGCAGACCGGCCCTCCACTGTCATTATCATCTTCAATTGCAGCACTAAGTAAGTTGCTCTTTCCCTCATTGCAGTTTAATTACATGTTTTTCCTGTAGCAGACGTGCTTTCCCTTCTTGCATTTTAATTACATGCTTCCTGTAGCAAACGTGCGTGAGCAGTTCATGCACGCTTGTTGGTAAAAGTTAAAAAATAATGGTCAGTCGGGTTAAACTTGTGACCCTGTTAGGTCTACTGGGTCCAGCCCAGCTCTATGGGCTGAGCTAGGCCTAACCCAAAAAAAATAAAAATATAAAATATAAAAATATAAAAATATAAAAATATGTATGCATGAATAAAAATAATATAAATTTATTGGTTTATTCACTGGCGCCAGAATTAGGAATAAAAATACCGATTTAAATTTATATTATTTTTATTCGTTATATTTTATTTTATTTAGCTAGAAAAATAAAAGATATGTGCATGCGTAAAAATAAATTTATTTGATTTGTTTATTCACTGATGCTAGAGTCAGGAATAAAAAATATTGATTTAGATTTATTTTGTTTCTATAGCTGTGTAATATTTACCAACGCCAGAATTGGAAATATCCGTAGTTAAATATTCACTGACGCCAGAGTCAGGGATATTATAAGCAAATTATCATAGCACAAATTAACAAACATATAACAATTTAAGATGAAACTAGCAATGCAGTCTGCCTCAGGTAGGATGTTTAAGGAGTGATAATATCTTCCCTTTTACGTAACCAGTCCCAAACTATAAAATCTCTGTTGACTAGTTAGGGTTCCTAGTAACCATAATACTAGGTGGCGACTCTTTAAACAAGACCTTTTTCCTTAAAAGAACAAGATGCCAGATTCATGTTCTTTTTCTAATCGAGATGATTTTTTAAGGCCGTCGCGATGTCGGGTGCGACACTATTTATTTTATTTGAAATAATTGATGAAATTAGACTTTTTTTAATCTCATTCTTTCAAATTTTTTCTCCATCAGATTTAGTCCTCATTCTTATGATTGTTATTTATTTTATTTGAAATAATTTATAAAATTTGATTTTTTTTCAATTTTATCCTCTTCTAATTTTTTTATCTATTAAATTTTGTTCCTATTGTTTTTTATATTTGTTTTATTTGAAATATGAAATTGGATTGTTATTTCATTTTCATCGCTCTTAAAATTTTTTTATTTTTTAGATCTAATCCTTATTCTTTCAATAAACTTGAAAAAATAAATTAAAATATTATTAAATTATTTTTTAATTTATTTTTCATGACATTATTAAACACTAAAAAAAATTTTCGAACTTATTTTTCATAATACTTTCAAACTTCAAAAAAATAATTTATTTTTCATAAAAACCATTTTATAAAAAAAAATTACTTTTCAGCCAATAAAAAAAAGCCCTTAGATGGTATAATTGAGCAAATAATATATTGGGTTGTGCTGGACTATGGTAGGCTAGAATCACGACAGCATAGATGTAATCCAATTGAGGGGTCTTGTATTCCTCTTCAGCTCCCTTATAGGCTGGATTACTTGTTGGACTATTCAAGCATGGGCCCGGCCTTTATATCTCATGTAATTTGGGCCAATCCTTCTGTCTTATTTCCTTTATATAATGTCCATGTGTTTGCCCTCTCAATCTTTGGGCATTCGAGCTAGGCCCAGTGAAATGGAAACCATCTTCATCAATATTCTTTTCAAAACAACAAGATGTTCGTACACTAAATCAAATATTGGGATATGAGTTTTTTTTTTTTTTTAATTATTGAGTTATAGAGTTAAAGTTAATTATTTTTTTATTAAAATAATATTTTTTATTTTTTAAAAAAATTTAGATATGTTGAGTTGGTCAAATTTAAATTGAGTTTGATCGAGTAATGAATTAATAAAATTTGATATCATTAATATTTTTTTTGTTTAAATTAAATTTGACTCGGACAAAGTCCGTGATTATAAGTTTTTCAGGTTAATTTATAAAGATAAATTGAATTTAATAACTATGCTAAATGTTGAAGTTTTTGAAATTATCACTACTTTTTTCTAAGGTAGAATTAACAAATTCTCATATTGAAAGTTAGAGTTAAAAGAAAATCTCATCATAAATGTGAGCTAGTTCATACAATCCCACTCAAGGATATCTTGATGCATGAGTTGAAGCCAAAATCATAAAGTTTTACAAGGTGATTGAAAGGGAAAATAAGTTTTGGATGTGACTAATTTACTAAAGTAAGAGTTAATATCCAAAGAAAAAAATTTCTGAAAAAAAATAATCTTGAATGCATTAATTCAAAATAAATTATTCAATAGTCAATTAATCAAAAAGAGATTTAAGCTGTATTTGATGGTGGACGGTGTACTTGTAATGTATTTAAAAATGGTTTTAAAACGTATTTGAACTAAAAACAATTAAACAAATTGAAATTGAAATCATTGAATAAAATAATAAAAAAACATTAATTTAAAAACAGCAAAAATGTGTTATTACGATATACATATTTTATGTGAAATTTGGTAAGAGGATGTTGTTAATAATATTGTAAAATAAAAATAAAAACATGCCATAAAAGATAAGTCTATCCTATTATAATATTATAAAGTAATATAAAACAATTTTTATATCCTAGCCCAATCCTTTGAGTTTTTGAGTCGAGAACATGAGATACACTTAAGCTTTTCAATTAAAACGATTATTTGATATCTTATACCATATTTGGCATGGATTAGAGGTGTTAAAAATATATGATTTATTTGTGATATTTATATTATCTGATTTAACCTAATAAATTGTCAAAGTTATACAATATAGATATTATATATAATAATGGGTTAAAAATCTAATAAATAAATATTATGGGTGTTGAATCATTAAATATTTCAGCTTTAATATTTTTTTAGTGGACTTTATATTAGATTTTTTTAATATAATAAAAAATATCTCATTACTAAAAGGAGAGAGAAGTAACTTAAATTTAAAGTTAATACAAAATATAAAAATTAAAATTAATAATTAGAGTGCCATTATATTTATAATTCATAATTCATGTTATAGGCTCATTTTTAATTACGGATCCAAAAAAATTACTAATATAAACATAACTCGTGAATACTTTATAATATCAATGAAATAATTATCTTATAAGAATAATGTAATTTAAATATATTCATATTTAAGTCATAAATTTCACATATTAGTTCAGTTTTGTCTTAAATAATTTTTTTTGTATTTTCCTTTTGTTATTATTATCTAAATTTTTTATTATATTATTAAATCAATTAAAATTTAACATGATTATCAAAATTCTTTTATGTCTTTGAAAGAACAATCATCCCCTATTATTTTTTTCAAGTTAAAAAAATGTATGCCCTCCTGCGGCATGGACGCCAATCTAGTTTCTCTTCTAAAGGCCCTCGGTTTCCCATTAATTCCAGACCTCCAGTCACCTCTCAAGATCTGCTGTTCTGTTAAGTGAGAGACCCTTCACATTTCCTTACAGGTTTCTTCTTCTTTTTTCTTAAAGTTCGAAGTTTGCAAATTTGTCTTAAAATGCGGTCACTGCTTGCTGGTTTTGTGGTTCTTGTGAGTGACAGGTATTAGAGATGGAACTAAATCAAGGGAAAGCTTGTTTCAGTTTAGTAAGGAGATTAATAGTGTGGCTTGTGGCATTCTTGCTGCTTGGGCTGTGACCGCTGCCTCACCTGTAATTGCTGCTAATCAGGTTAAAGACGGAACTTGAATAACCTTTTTTTTTTGCTTTCAAATTAAGCATCTAAAGGTAATTGTTGTTTGTTTATACTTAATTAAAGAGTTCTTATTAAACAAACTGATTCCCTTGTTAGTATTTATCCATTCTCTGAATTTTGTGGTCAAAGCAATCCTTTTAAAGCATTGCTTAAAAATGCTTGTAATGGCAATTGGTGGAGATTTGGAAAGATAAGTGGTGGAGAAGAGGGAATGAGGGGGGTAATCATTTAGTTCCTTTTCTTTTCTTTTTTGTTTATTTTTTTCTCCTCCACACGCAGCATTATGCTGCCTTATGATAGCGTCAGCACTACTAGATGATAATGTCAATATCGATAAAATGTACAACGATTCAAACGTGTTTGCTTTGCAGAGGCCGCCCCCACTATCGACGGAGCCTGACCGGTGTGAGAAGGCACTTGGTGGGAACACGATTGGTCAAGCAAATGGTGTTTATGACAAGCCTATAGATCTTCGCTTCTGTGATTATACAAATGACAAGTCCAAACTAGAGGGGAAGTCTCTTGCAGCAGCACTTACGTCAGATGCCAAGTTTGACGGTGCAGATACGTCAGAAGTGGTAGTGTCAAAGGCTTATGCTGTTGGAGCTAGCTTCAAAGGTAATTTTTCAGTTCAGCCCTCATCTATATATCTTCTGTAACCCACTGCTTGTAGATGATGAGCATGTTGATGTAAACTTTTCATGGGTGAAATTTGAAAAATGAAAATGTCTCTGCACAATTTTCGACTCCACAAAACTCACTTTTTAATACGTGCACAAACACAGGGAGGAGAGGAAAACCAAGCTAAATGGGTAGCTCAGGGAAGGCACGAATCTTTTTTCCTTCGCATTTGAAGGCAAATGGTCTCTTTGTGGTCTTTGCAAACGATAGCCATGGGAAAAATGACAAATCTTAGTGAAAACGCTAGCAGGTCTATATATGTAGGTTCCCTAACGAATTCAATGAAACATGGAAACATAAACCAATGCGAGGATCAATGACGCTAGGATGAGCGATGGCGTACGTATGACTCTACAATCCAGTGTTCAGTAGAAATTGATGGACAATAAACTTGAAATGTCTTTGGTGAATAATTGAAAACAGAAACAGCAATAATTGAAAACGCTGGTATATCTCAGGTGAATAATTGAAAACAGAAACAGATAATTTCTGCTATTCAAAAATCAAATCAATAACCTGGCCCTGAATTATAAACTCCAGCCTGATCAGAAACCAGCAATCCCATGGAGGATTGTAGAACAACTATAAGTCTTCGTTTGGCACATTCTTAAACTGGTTCATCTTGTTTTATTTTGAAAACGTGAAATGTAAGTACTGTCAAGGACATCATAGCATAGGATAACAATGTCTCAAAGTATTTTGCAGGATTAGACTTCTCAAATTAATATTAACTCAAAAGAGAGGCATCAAAGAAAACCAATAAAAAATATAAATGAACCCGTCCACACCCTTTAATCCAAAAAAATAATGTTGAAACATGATAGTATTACCAAACTCAAAAACAATGATAGTATGCCTGATTAAAAAAAATAGCTCAACTCTTACACTGATATCATTATGAATATAAAGCAATTTTTAAAACCTTAACACACAGCCTAAGCTTTTGATTCTTAGTTAGAGATATATTTTTTTTCTTTGACAAAGATGATTCGCTTTTGTAATAAGATGAGACAATCTTCAGTCTCAGTGAATCTTGATCACAAAACATCATGAAAGCTACCAAGATGAGACTAGCCGTTGGTTCTTGTTCCTCCCATGTGCCGTGTTTTGTAGCCCTAGTGCTTGGTGCATTATCAGCCAAAAAAGAAAAAAAAGAAAAAAACACAACTATCAATCCTTTCAACCCTCACTAAAACATCCCAGAAGTAGGTATTCCTTCAATAATGAGTGCTTGAAAAATAATAATTCTGGAACTGGAAACTACGAGTCCAATTGATGTGAAGTTTTAATAGCTTTCCTTGTTAGGAGAGCGCGGTAGTTAGATGATACTAGTATATACGCCAGTGCGAGTTGAATTATTTTTTTTAAAACATAACAAGAATATATTATTCTTATAAAAAATTATTTAACCCAACTTAGTGGATTTTGCTTGAAATTCTTTTTACCTGACTTCTTATTTAATATTGAGTTAAAATCGATTTATATGAGATTTATTTAGATATAACTTAATGAATTTAATTGAGCTAAAAAATATTTTGGTTGGCAAGTGAAAAACATTTAAGATAAAATTAAAAAAAAATTTAAAATAATATAAAAAACCAAGCGATCTAATTTCATCCCAACTCCTTGTATATTTAATGTTTAAAATTAAATAATATAAAAATTATTCTAACTTAATTTAATTAACTTGATAAGTTTAAAAAATAACTTGAATGATTGTTAAAAAAACATCTAATAATGAAATTGAGGAAATAAATGAAATAAAAAATAAAATAAAAAAAGTGGCTGAATTGGAAGGAAAAAAAAATAGCTTCATTGTTTATGTGATCAATAAGCCTTGTAATTTTATATATTAAATATATTGGCTCCTTTTAATCGAAAACGCGCATCTAGTGTAGTGGTATCATAGTACCCTCCCACGGTACTGACCGGGGTTCGATTCCCCGGATGCGCACTTTATTTCACTTTTATTTTGATTGGAAAACTACGTTAAGGCCCACTAAATTATCGACATATTTCAAACAGGTCCTCAGTCTACAAAATGTTTCAGAATTGACGCAATATCAACGTTACCACATCAAATGCTAATTGTTTTTTTTTTTTTTCCGTGATGTTGTGTCAAGCTTCTTAAATTAATTATAAAAATTGATTCAAAATGAATATTTATGATATTAGAATATATTTAGAAAAAAAAGATTAAAATTTAATTACATGTTTTTCTTTCTCTCATCTATTATTGAATTCAAAAACAATGTTGAGATTACAAACATAATTGATCATATTCTATTTCTAAATATGTGACAATTACTAGTGTAGTGTTCTTTTTAAAAGCAACATAATCAATTAAATCATTAAATTGGTGTTATTAGAGTTTTTATTATCATTATTATTATGGTTTGCATTACTATACATTTTATAATTTAGGCATTCTTTGTTTATAAAATATGTAATGAAACCTGTGTTTTATCTAAAAATAATTTTTTTTGAAAAGTTTTTTTTTTTAAAAAGTGATTTTCTGAAAAATAAGTTATTTTTCGATGTTTGATGTTGTTTTGAAAAATAAATTAAAAAATATTTTTTAGTATTTAGCTATGTCATGAAAAATAAGATAAAAACTTATTTATTAATATTTTTAATATTTTATATTTATTAAAAAAATAAAGACCAAATATAAAAAATAAAAAAGCTAAAGAAGGGTGAAATTAAAACAAATCTAATTTTATAAATTATTTTAAATAGAATAAATAATAAAAAGAATGAGAATCACTTTTATAAATAAAAATTTTGAAGGAGGATGAAATTATTTTTTTATATACAAATTATTTTAAATGAAATAAAATAAATAGTAATAAAAAACCAAATTAAAAAACTAAAATTTAAAATATACACAATTGACTTACTCGGGTTTGACCATTTCCTACTCAATATACTATAAAATCTTACAGGTGGCATTGCGTGGAAACAGAAAAAAAATCTTTATGCAGAAAACAAAAACTTAACAAAACAAAGTATATGAAAAAAAAAAAAAACCATAGAAAGAGCGTAGCCGAATATAAAAATATGAGTAATATACATACATACATGCATACATACATACATACATATACATATATATATATACATATACATATACATACATACATGCACACATACATATATATATATATATATATATATATATATATATATTATGCTAAAAATGCTTATCCAAGTGATAAAATATAAAAAAAAAACCCACACCATAAACTAAGAATGGATAATCTCTTCCATAAAAAGTTCTAGCATGAAACTAACGAGTGGATCACATTTCGTTCTTGAAAGAACGATGGAAAAGAAGAGGGAGATTAATTCATCATCATCATCATCAATACATGCTTCCTTTGATTCCAGCTAGCTGGGTAGCTAGGGGAGGGAGTAGGTGTCTCTAATGGATCTGCATTCTCGTAGGTGTTCGAATTTGGGTGGGGGGTTCTTGCAATCATTGGTGCACCTACCCCCTTTGAATCGTTTTGTGAAGATGCATACATCACAGTAGACGTACGAGCCCTCGGCCATGTTCTGCTTTCAGCATCATGATCTCCTGCATGGTGAGATCGAGACAGGTATTATACAGACCACATCTTGTCCACTGCCTCTATCTAACTCCATTTCAGCAAACTGATGATCTTGCCTCGTATCCTTGTGCATTCCTCCACAGAAATGCCGATCTCTAGCTGAAAGCTGAAGCTTTATGTTATAATATGTCAATTAACCATTGTAATTTAATAATTTAAATTATAAGATAATATTTTAAGATATAATTTATATTTTTTTATAATATATCATTTTAAGATAAATTTTTTTATTTTAAAATTTATACAACTCACATTATCTTATATTTATTATTTATTAAATAAATAGAAATAAATAAATTTAAATTCATAACTAGCTAATCATCAAGATTTTAATATTATATTAAATAACTATATCACTGTAATAACTTAAGTTTTGCAATAATATAAACACAATACAGCCATAACTTAAGTAGAGGATGTAGTTTTGCAATGATTATTTTAGTGTATTTCTCACATTCATGTCATTTGGTTCATATTGGACAATTAATACTTGTGTATTTGTGACATGTCTCGCGTACATGGAAGAGAGGAAGAACTTGTTTCTAGTTTAATGAATGATTTTGGCTTTGTTTTATAAAATAAATCATTGAGAATCTATGATTACCATGTAATCCATCATATCATACATTTTTAATATCAGCTGAATATGTTAAGATTTTCTTTCACTCTTGTGGGGAGTCCTATATATATATATGAAGTAATTAAGGTGGGATTTGGTGCACAAATTGATGAATTTATTATTATTTTTCATTTAATTTAACACATGTACAAGGTGTTCTAATTTGAAACTCTCAGAAATTAAATCTTTGAAATAAATCAAATACAATAACCCTTCAAGTTCTTATGTCAATATTTTCTAGTTCTTTTTCTTCAATTTGTGCACCAAATCCCACCTTAATTACTTGCTGATATAGAGAATTGTAGTTATATCTGGGCCACCATGAACTATGGAAATATGGAATGGTAGCTTTCAGAAATGGAACCTTTAATTTTTACCACAATAAAAATTGGCTGGCGTAACCTGTACTTCCATGGTCATGCTGATGGTTGTTGAGCTTAAAAATTATACTTGCTGAGCTGCCATTCCATGATCAACTACAATTCCTTTCTGTTTTCTTCTTTTAAACTGACTGTCAGGTGTCAACAAATTTATATATAGTACCCCCCAACCATTTTCCCTGCCACAATTTATTCTCCAGCTCCAACCAATTTGGTTATACCACCAACTCTCAGTTGCTACTATTTTCTGCTTTTATTTATGTAACTACACATTGGCCCAATTTGCCCTAGCTAAGGGAGTAGGGTGGTCATGGGGGGGTGGGTGGTGTTTGTGTCCTTTGTCATTACTTCGGAAATTTTGCTTTAGATCCATGCATGTAGGCCTCATATTTATAGCAACATGCCAGGATTCTAAATGGTCGCAGCAACTTGTGAAAGCTCCACAGGTGGTGAGAAAGATAGAATTGGAGCTCGCTTGGCCTCTTTGTAATGTTTCTTGCTCAAATGAGTATTCCAACAACAGTAGCCTTTTGAACAAGAACATATGTTTTTGCCTTGCATGATTATGATGTTGCAGATATCTACTGTTTCTGAGATGCTCATTTGAGCAAGAAATATTAGAAGAGGATATTTTTCTACTAGGATCTTGCTTCAATAAGAGGAAGAACTGCTTGCTCAAAGTTTATCAGATAAGTTGCTGTACTTTTGTTCCCTAGCCACCACACATGCAAAGGTAGTTTTCTGATTTTTGCTCACAAGAGTCTAGCAATAAAACAAGGTTTAGGGTTTGCTTCCTCTCTTTTTTTTTCCTGTGTTTTAGTTGCTAAATAGGGGTTTCATCTAGGTAGGGAATATTTAAGGTGATGTCTCAGGTGGCTTCTCTCTCCACCCCCCCTTCCCGCACCTTTTCCTCCCTCCCTCCTGGTCTTGTTATCCTGTCCTTATCATATCATGAGGTCCATCTATACAATTAATGTCTGTGCCAGTGATGATATGATTGCTCCTGATCAAGGATGATACTTTTATTTTGTTCCTGTGAGCACGTATTCTGTCGAGTTTGTCACAGGGATCATGGTTAGTTTGTGTCTTGATGAAATCTGATGGACTGGTTAAGCATATTTTTCCATGAGGTTTATTGTCTGATGTCCTGAATTGAAGTTATCTGCGCTTGCTTACATGGAACTAATTCTGCTTCTGATCACAGGTTTCTGAATTCTCAAAATGGTTAGAATCTTCAGTTCTGCCGATCAAAGACTTGCTCCACTGATTCACATGTGCCTTTCTCTTTCTTGTGCTTGCTGCAGTTTTGTTATAATCCTTTTGCCACCATGAGACCTTATGCTGGTTCCACCTCAAATTCTATTTTTATTCCTGGACTATCAATACTGTCCCGGTATGTGTTTTGTTTACATCTGATGATACTAGCGTGTGTGTGTGTAATTCCACGGTCACAGCTGAAGCCATGTTCCTGAGATCAGATGTGCTTTATATGGTCTGTTCATTTCTGGTTCTTGTTCTGGGCTATTATGGACATATGCTGATGTTCTTGTTGCTTCAAAATGGTTGATCATCTTCCTGTTTCTTCATGAGCTTCTGATCTTCTGCTATGAAAGCTGTATGTTTTCATTTTCAGTGTAATCTCTACTTCCTTTTATGGATTTTCCAGCTGTTCTCTTGGGTAGCCTTGAGTGATATAATATCTTTAATTAATTCTAATAAGAAGTTTCTTCGTTTGATCAGTATATATAGTCATGTTCAAGCTTGATCAATCAAACTCAAGCTTAACTTTGGACTTGAAAGATCTCAAATTTGATTCCTTGATTGTTTAAAGAAGCTCAGGCAGCTTGTTTAAGATTATAACCGGCTAGATTATTGGTAACCTAATATATATATATATATATATACGTTTGAAATGTTATGGTAGACTAGCAAATTTGCAAAATCAACATAAAATAAAGTATCACTACGGTAGCAATAACTTGAAAAATCAGTAATTCCAAAACTTAATATATTGTGTTCAATATTAATTAGCCTGGTTAATTAAGTTTATACTAGTATTTTATGAGTTAATTATATAACTTGTCCTTGACACTTAGAATGATTCATGATGAAGAAAGAAAATAAATGGATGCTCTTTTTTTAATTATGTTGTGCGAACCACGAAATATTCCAAATAATTTATAAAACATGGAATTTGTTGAAGATCACGAAGCGTTTCAAATAAAATATTTGAATAAGATAAGAACATGTCCTTTATTTATTATTTAGTATTAGTTTTGTAGTTTTTATTATATTTTTATATATATAATTATATTAATTTGTTATAACTAATTATTTTTTTATCAGCCCTAATATTTAATGTCTTTTTTTTTGTTTATGAAACCTTAAAAAAAAAAATCAACAATTGAAGAAGTTGATATAAATCAACCTGTTTGAATAATAAAGTTCCACCAATTCTTGATATGCCTTGTTTGAAATTAAGTTGAGAGCATTTGCAATTACAAAAACTAATTAACAAACATTAGGGCACAACAACATGCATCTCAATGAATATATATTAGGGATTTTTTCCCTTAATCATCAAGATAAAGAATTAATTAAGGTGTTGATTTTCAGAAAAAGAGAAAAATGTATTGAAGAAGAAATTAAAAAAGAATCAAGAAGAAGATAGCACTATATTTGCATTTAACATCCACATACCATAATATGTGTTTAGTGGAAGTAGTATTTTTTTTTTTTGAATACGGAATGCAGAAAATGAACTCGAGTTAATTATATTTATATCTTATTATTTTACAAAAAAAAAATGTAATTGGCTGTAAATGCACTCCTTGATATAGATATGTTCGGACATAGAAGGGATTTATAATTTATAATTTTTTTTTATTAAATTATTTGATTTGATAAGATATTCTGGATTGATACAAATAAAAAATTCATGTTTAATTAATTAAAATATTCTAGCATGAATCATTTTTTCTTGAGATTCTGAAACATATCTTTTGTGGCAGCCAAGATCTTAATTAATTCATGGCAAAAGGTTGGAATGCATATATAGGCCGCAGGTGAGTTTCTTCGAAAGAATCCAAGCACTTCAATTAATCTTGTTGCGAAATTAAAATTAACCAAAAAAAAATGATGAAATCTCTTAAGAATTTTGGCCATTAGTGTATTTGATTTAGCTCTATAATTGACAGAGATTCCCTTCTAGCCAGTTGCTTGGAGAAGAATATATGCTGTTCTTGTAGTATATACCTTCTCCATTTTGGTAAGTAATTAAGGATATATTCTTACCTGCCTGTCCAAGTAAAGCAATTTGGAGGGCACCCATTTATACTGTGGGGGGAGAGGGGGGATATATATATATAAATATATATTCCTTTCAAATTTGTCGAGCATACTAGTTTCTCATTACATTCCATCTGTGTGCTTTTAAAATTCTTGACTTTTTTTTTATCCATCTGTGTGCTTTTAAAATTCTTGACTCTTTTTTTTAGTTTTATATTATTTTTTTTTATATTTTTAAATAAAAATCACCTCAAGGAATCATAGAAATCGAAGCTTAATTTTTAGTTTTATTACATAATCCTATTTATCTAATCAACTACGTCTATATTTTGATAAGTAATTTTAGTTTGGATCAAATCAGAAACTGATATGGAACAAGATTCAAAGCCAAAGCTAAAATTCTAAGATCCATCTAAAGCAGCAGGCAGATACAACAGCTAAAAAGTACTCTCACTCACCGGAAAAAAGCAGCCAGACAGCACAGAAACCTCCCCTACGAAGAAAGAAAAGCATCTCAAGTCCACTTCTTGAATGGATTATGGTTATACCCCATGCAGTACAATTCACAACCTTCACCTCTCCTCACCACAAACATGGAGAAAGCCTTGGCTACGTTTTCTGCTTCAACAGCCACCGCAATTTTACTTCTTGCCTCAACTCTCTATATTCAAGGTATGGATAAATATATGCCTCTTCCTCCTCGTTGTATGGCGACCTTAAGATTTCATGTATGATTTATTATATATCAATGTTGCTATTTTGTTAGGAGTGGAAGGAAGTATTGGAGTAAACTATGGCACGTTGGCTAACAACCTGCCTCCACCAGCACAGGTAGCCCATTTTCTTTTAGAATCCACCATTATCAACCGCGTTAGGCTCTTTGATGCCAGCACCGAAATTCTACGAGCCTTTGCTCACACAGGCATTGAAGTCACAGTCACAGTGACAAATGATCAAATCCCTCACCTTACCAACATAGGTTTTGCACAAGAATGGCTGAAGTCCAATGTCCAGCCTCATGTGCGGACCACCAACATTGTCCGAATCTTGGTAGGCAATGAAGTAATATCAACAGCAAACAAATTGTTAATAGCAAGCTTGGTTCCTGCTATGCAAACTCTTCATACAGCTTTAGTTGGTGCGTCATTAGACAGTAGAATCAAAATCTCTAGCCCTCACTCTTTAGGCATTCTCTCAAGTTCGAGCCCACCATCCGGTGGGAAATTTCGACAAGGATATGATACACATGTTCTTAAACCGTTGCTTAGCTTCCTTAGAGCTACCAATTCACCATTCATGATTAACCCTTATCCATTCTTTGGATCCTCTCCTGAAACTCTTGATTATGCACTGTTTAGGCCTGGTTCAGGAGTGTTTGATGAAAACACCAAGCTTTCTTACACAAACATGCTAGATGCGCAACTGGATGCTGTCTTTTCAGCAATGAAACTTCTTGGTTTTAGTGATATTGAGATTGTCATATCCGAAACCGGGTGGCCATCACTAGGAGATTCATCACAAGTTGGTGTTGATGCAGAAAGTGCAGCTCAATACAATAGGAATCTGATGCAGCATGTAACATCTGGAGCTGGCACCCCGCTCATGCCCAACCGGACATTTGAAACTTACATTTTCGCACTTTTTAATGAAGATCTCAAGCCAGGGCCTACCTGCGAGAGGAATTTCGGATTGTTCCTGCCGGACATGACTCCAATGTACGATATTGGAATCCTAAGGTCTACGGTAGCTGCTGCTAGCAAATTCCACCATGCTACATATATCTCAGTCCTTACAATCGGGCTTCTAATAATTTCTAACAATGGTGACAACATGCTTTGTTAATTATTAGTTAATGTCAATTAACTCTCCGATCACCTTGCACGTAAAATTTTGATCTAAATTCTTTCTTGACAGGCTAAATCATCCATTCCTACGAATCCTGCCCTTGTACCAAGTGACTGCACTGGTGAGTCCAGGTTCATGAGAAGGGCCTTAAGGAAAAAAAGCGGTGCCTTCCTAAAACAGGAGCAGATGTGGAGGCTCTACAGAGAAACGTTGATTATGTGTGTGGCATGGAAATGAAGTACTGCACACCTATTCAAGAAGGTGGTGAATGCTTCCTGCCCATGGTGAGAGCTCACGCAGCATTCGCCATGAATGCATGCGATCAAGGCACGGGAAAGAATTGCGATTTCGAAACTGGGGCGATTTCAACAGTGGATCCAAATATGTCCCTTTTCTTTCTGCACTCATGATAATACACCCACACTCACCCTTTTTGTTTTTGATAGAAACTCTTTTACAAGAAATTGGTATATCTTTCTCCATTCCAGGGTGCACGTATTGAAGACATCGGTGCATGCAGTGGATTATTTGCAATGAAGAAGAGGGTTGGCTCAGAAGATGAACTTCTGTTTGTTGACCTTGAAAGGGCTATAGAACAAGAACTAGGAGAAAATATACGCTTAATTAGGCATTATGTCTACTGGTTTAGTAACTCTCATTCTAATGCTTATAGAATACGTATAGATAGGACAACAGGTCTACAAATATTGTACTGTTAGCTATTTGCTCAGAGATTTGTAAAAGTGAATGCTATTACATTGGTATAATCATATGAACATGGATTAACACTCCTTAATTATTATTATTATATATATGCTTCATTTAGATGAAGAAAAATAGTGAAATTCTGTTTAGGTTGGACTATTTTTCCCCACTTGCCAAGCAATGCATATTCTTCTTCTTTATAACTTTTCTCCATGAAGAAGTAATTCTCTTTCCAGTTAATTATTTAATTAAGATTTTCTTTATATTATTATATAACATGGTTTATAAGTAATATTTTACCATGGGATATTATTATATAATATAGTTAATAGGTAATCCTAGAAACGGGATTGTGCACACCGCAAGTCCACTTTTTTTTTTATTATATAAAAATAAATGTTTATGTGATGTCAACTAATTTTAAAGAAATAAAAAAACAAACAATTCAAGTTATATCCTCAATCAAGTTTAATAAGTTGATTTTATTTTAATTATAAATTAAAAAATAATAAGGATAATAAACAAATAATTTAAAAAAAACTTTTCAAAGTATATAATTGGATACAAAAACACAAATCAAGTCAACCAGAAATAGCATGATAGACATGTGACCTGGATAATAAAATCAATTCAACCCAAGTAAGCCCAAAAAAACTTGTGGCTAGATTATGAGATAATTCGATAGATAAGAAATATGAAGAAAACTACAAAGTCAATTTTTAAAAAAAAAAATAATATCAAATGGTGAATATGAAGAAAACTACAAAGTCAATTTTTTTTTTAAAAAAATAATATCAAATGGTAAAATTATTTGGGAAAGAAAATAAGCAAAAAAAAAAAAAACTTCGACCTGTATTAACTTTTCAAACCCTTGATTCAAGTTATTAGACTGAAAGCACCATAAAAAGATAAATTACGAGGCTCAATCCCTAGAAAATAAAATGCCGATGGATCGATGAAATCATGAAAAAAATCAATTACACAAAAAGATATAAAATAAAATAATAAAAATTTAAAAATAAAGATGAAAATAAAAAAAAATATATTTTTTATGAAACTAGTATTTAAAAATAAAGATGAAAATAAAAAAAATATATATTTTATGAAACTAGGCAATAAATTTTTTTTATTGGAAGGTTAAATTGAATAGAGATATAAATCTAACCTAAGGAAAAAAAAAGATGAAATTATAAAAAATAATATACTATAAACTTGGATTAAATGATAAAATTAAAAACATCAAAATATTTACTAAAAAATCATGGAAGAAAATTAAAAATCAAAATAAAAAGGACCAAATTAAAAAAACTTATACATGACAAATTAGAATTAAATTAAAAATAAATAAAACTTTAACAAAAAGGTTTAAAAAATTTAATAATAAAAATTGAAATTAAAATATATATATAAAAAATTGACAAGCAATAAACTACCTCATGCAACGATATAATAAAAGAACATTTTATGACTTGAAGGTGTCGTCATGACGCCTAGAAAGCGGGGTATCTCTTACATTTCAACAAAATTTTAGAATTAAATAATATTTAATTAATATTAAAAGATAAAAATATCTTTAATTAACCTGATAATTATAAAAAAAAAATACCAAAAGATCTCTCCACTCAAGGTATAAGTTTCTTGATTTCAAGAGTATATTTGTCAATTTACTTTACATAAATAAATAAAAAGATAGTTATGATCCTTTTTACCAGTGTTATAAATTTTTTATCTTGGAGATAATTAAATTATTTTATTGTTCTTAAAAAGTGTGTGTATACATACATACATACATACACACACACACACACACATATATATATATATATATATAAACAATCATTTAATTACTAGTATGCCATACGAAAAGATAAAAATGCCCATGAACAAAGACACGTGATTTCTTTGGGAAAAGCAAAGCTCGTTAACAATGTTTTTAACTTCCCTTTTAATTTCTATTATTATTATATGGCCATTGTCCTTTGGTTGTCATTAATATTTTATTAGTTAATTGTCATCTATAATGGATTCATTATTAAGCAAAAGAAAAACATTAATCGGGTTGGTGGCGGCGGCGGCTATGTTTGTTTTTCACTTGTTTTTATATTTGTAGTGAAACAAATATACTAATGTATTTAATAATAAATTAAATTATATTTTATATTGTAGGGTTTATTAAAAAATTAAGTTGAAAACTCAATTTTTATGAAGTATTTTTTATATTTTTTTAAATAATTTTTATAAAATCCTGTTTATTTTTATATTTAAAAAATATTTTTTAAAAAATTAAATTTTATTCTGTTTTTTTCTTTAAATTAATATATTTTTTTAAAGGTTTCTCTTTTTATTTTTAATTTTGAAATTTCTTTGAAACTGTGGGATATAGAAGAGAAAGGTATGACCCATCATTTCACTTTCAGCCAAGTGTTTGTCAAGATTTTTAAATTTTACCTTTACTATTAATATTTTTTCAATTTAACATTTTGTGCTATCTGATTTTTATATAAAACAATCTAGTAAGTTATAAATAATAATTGTCTAAATTAATATCAATAATATTTAATATAAAAAATAGCGGGATATTAAAATCACATGTGTTAAATTAATACACCCCATAATAAACCCTCTAATTTAATACTTGTATTTTTTTATTCACTAATGCTTATAGGACCTATTAATTTTATAGGTGTAATTTTAGTTCTTTTTATTTTTCACATAAAATATTATTAAGAAATTATTAACATGTATATGAAATTGGAAAAATTAAAAAAATTAAAAATCTTGACAAATGCATGATGACATGATGGGTTGGGTCAAGGGTGGAATAATAATAAAAAATTCAAAAAAATTGTGAGCCATTGAATGAGACTCAAAAGTGATCTCACTAAGATAATAGTTATATGTATTTTCTTATTTTTTATTTCTAATATTTAGCATTACTTTATAAAAAAAATTATAATTAATTTATTTGTTTTGGGGTTTTTTTTTCGATACTAGCATTACATGTATTGTATCCAAAGATCAAAGGGGTCATCCATAGGCTTAAACAAATCTTATCACCCTCCCTTAGGATTTTTCACGCATCGTATATTTTATTTAACCAACTTCTTTGAATTATTGTCTAAATCTTTTGTTAATTTAGTAGTTATGAAATTATGTTCATTTCATAAAAAATACTTCTCATTAGTCATAACGTATTTTTTTTATTCATTCATTTCATAAAAAATACTTCTCATTAGTAATAACTTATTTTTTTTATTCATGTTTTTGTTTTCACAAAAACATGTTGTTTTTGTGAGAAGTTTTTGTTTTTAAATAAAAACTTATTATAATTTTAAAAGAAGTTTTTAACAAAAATAAAAAAAAATCACGAACCAATAATTTTAACTCAGAAATATAAAAATAATAAATTTAAGAAGTGTTGTGTAGAAAATTTATAATAAAAAGATAAAAAGATAAATATGTCATTTGCATTAAATATTCATGAGTAAATTATGTAGTTCATATATGATTATTTGAAAAGTAATTGTTAATATTATCATAAAAACTAATATTATTTGAAAACTATGATATAATTATATAATTATTTTAATAAATTTATTAAAAAATAAATTTAATTATAAAATGTGTAAAAAGACAATTAGATATTAAAACATAAAATCCCAAAATAACATAAATCAAATATTGCATAAATATAAACGTTAAATAACAAAATGAAATTTACGTATGAAAAAATACTATTTGTTTTTTTATTATTTATTTTAATTATTATTCTTTATAATTTTTTAATTACAAATTTAAATTATATTTCATGAAATCAATGATTAATTTATTTTAGGAATTTGTAAATAAAGAAGAAAAAATAAAGATTTGATAACTTGTAGGAAAAAAATCAAGAAAAAATAAAGTTCGATAAAAAAGAAAGGAGATTTGAGCAGCGCTGTGCACGAGGCGTGAGTGTTTGTTTTTGCGTTGTCTTGTTTTACAGCTGCGCGCGCATGTTGCCTCACAACGTTGTTTGAGTGTGGTGCAGACATACAGCTGTGCGTGGGGATGTTCTGTTCACCTGCTGATTGATGATCAATTCTAGGGTTAGGGTTTTTTTAATTATCTTCTAATTTCAATGGCAGATTGGCAACACCTTCTCCAATCAATCTTCATAGGTCTTCTCTTCTCATACCTCCTCGCCAAACTCATTTCCATCGTTGTTTCTTTCCAAAACGACAATCTCCGTATCACCCGAAACCCAAAACCCCAATTGAACGAACCCGCCCCCGCCCCCGCCCCCGCAG